AAAAAAAAAAGATGATGCACATCTCACTTGTGAGGAAAGGAGGAGAGGCAGGCACTGATCTCTTCTCTCTGGTGGCCAGAGACAGGACTGAAGGAACAGCCTGAAGCTGTGTCAGGGGAGGATTAGGTTGGATATTAGGACAAAGTTCTTTATCCAGAGTGTGGTTGGGCACTGGAACAGAGCTCCAGGGAAGTGGTCACAGGAGCAGCCAGACAGAGTTAGAGAAGCATTTGGAAAATGCCTTCAAATATATGGTGTTATTTTTGGGGTGATCTTGTGCAGAGTCAGGAGTTGGACTCGATCCTAGTGGGTCCCTTCCAACTCAGGATATTGTATGATTCTAAATTAGTTAAATTAAATCCTTATTGCAGACTTATTTTTCTATGTTCTACACATCACTTTGTTGTCACTGTGTTAGTTGTATTGGACATTTCTGAAAAGACATATTGTTCTCCTATGTCTGCAGAATATAGCAAAGCCACTTCATCTCTTCGCAGTGAATGTTTTCCGTTTTATTTGCTGTATTCCACACCCAGAACAAGCCATCCAGGGAAGATTTAAGTGTAGCAGTGTCATTAAGAATGGTATTTTCATATGCTGGCCAACCACTGTTCCTATTGACTTCAGAATTAAATCACTTTTTAAATACTGATAACATACTATTTTCAATAGAGTAATTTGTGAACATTTCATTAATCCTCCTTGAAACTTCATCTGTGCGTTACTTTGCAGACCTGTTATTTTTAGCTACCTCTCAGTTACTTCCAAATCACACACTACACATGCAACAACATTTTGTTTCTGCTTCAGTCTTCTTGTCTTCTTATATCTAGTGTAACTAATATTTGTTTCCCTAACTCTTACATAGAAGAAAATACATAGAAATAAGTTATCATCTAATGCATGGAACGACCTTTCTGAGGAAAATTTAAATAGATACAACAGTGCAGTTTGGAAAGCAACTGAACAGGTGTATGACAGATGTACATAAAATTATAAGCATATGAGTTATGTGAATTTGGAATCAATACTCGTTTTTTTGCAGCACAGGAGCTATGGGAAGGAAATGAAATTTAGGAAATACTGTTTCACAGAGAATATAGTTACAGCAGGAAACTGCCTACAACAGGAAGTTGTTCAGACTTAACAGAATTCAAGAAAAATTAATGAAAAATGAAGTATTACTGAGGGCTAATAAAAATAACAAGCTGCGGGGAAAGAAAAATAAAAAGCTCCACGAGCTTCCTAAACTACAGATTGTGGGAAGATGGAAGAAGTAAAGGGAAAAGCCTAACCCTATTCTGTGTATCCCTAAGTGTTTGTCCACTGCCAGAGATAGGTATTGAGAGGGTTTGAGTCATGATAGCCATTCTTTTTATGGATGTTTTAAAATCTGAAGTGCTTAAATCTCTGATTCTTTTTCACTAAATAAGTACAAATGGCACTTCTCTCTGTGAGATATGGCAAACACATTTCTGGAGTGCCAAAAAAGCATTCATTATTATGAAGCTGTGTGTCAGCTAGTGTGTAGTATGTTTGTCACATATTAGACTGGAAGGCAGGGAGGTAAATGACAAATATGGTTGAAGATGTGAGTAAATTACTGATAAATTGGAATCAAAAGTTCTCATTCTGAATGTAAGAGACTTGGTTCTTTGCAAGTATGACAATGTAATTACAAAAGTGGAATTGTGAATAAAGAAACAAAAGAGGAAGGGTCTTGTGATTCAAGTGAAATTAACATTCTCAAGGTGTTTTTTCTGCTCTCAAGTTATAGTTTTTATTAGCAGATTTGTTTGAAGCCTTACAATTGTCCAAAGACTGTGCCTTACAGTCCACTTGTGATTCTGTTTTCTTGTCTGTTCCACCAACACGTCTGTCTGAGGTATGGGATGGCTAAAAAACTGGCAAAATATTAGGCTGTCTGATTCTATCCTTAAAGTGGTTCTGTGAGAAAAACCCACCTTGTTTTTTTTGTTCTGAATTTAGTTTTCACCAGACTGTGCCTATTTGAGGACAGTAGAGAACAGGTTGGACATTGCAGAACATAAGATTAAATGAGGTTGGGAAATGACTTCAAGAAGAAGCAGAAATATAAGTGACAACTCAGATTGTAGCACATGTAAAGAAACCAAAACACAAAAATATGAAATTATTAATTTTATATAAATTTCTTAGATATTCACCAATTCAACTTTCAAGTGAAAAACAGTAAAGTACCAAATCTCTTTTCTCGAGATGGTGTCATCAACAAAGGTAGTTTGGGGCTCTAAATTCAGATTCTGAGTTTGCCACAGTCTAATTATGGTCTTGACAAGTCTGTTACTTCTTCTGGGCAGCAATTCTTCAGCCTCAATGTAAAGGTACCTCCTTGCTCCATCCTTCATTTCTTTCCTTATCTGTCCTTCCTTTCCTACCCATAAATCACTCAAAGAACCTACTGCCCTCTACAAGAGTAAATGTTACCCAGGGATGTTCAGGATTTGGTTTCTAGCCTTGGTTAACTTAGATTTAACTCATATTCAAATATTAAATACAATCCATGAAATAAAATGTGCTGCAAAAATAAATGTTAGCATTACTGTCCAAATTAAATTTTTTGGAATGACAACAATGATCACCTTATCAAAATGACTTACACTTTTCTTCGAAAACCAACTGCTTGATTTAAGTAAAATTAATATCTGAGCAATTTGTTTGAAATTTTTTGTCTCCAAGACTTCATCTCTGTGAAGTATCTTGAGTTTGATGAAACTGCAATTTTTGATGGAGAATCATTCCATTAATTGCCATCTAGAGGATCCAGACACTGCATCTCATTCTTCTTCTCTAATCTAGACAAGAGAAAATGGTTTTCTGCAGCCTTCTCTATTTTTCTGCTGGTTGAGACAGTTTTAAATGGGCTTAATGATACTCTGGGACTCCCAGAGTTTGTGAAAATTTCCATATGTCTCTGCAAAACAACTACACAGTGTCCAATGGACCTGTACAAGGGTACCATTTGAAAGACTCTGCTTCTCAAAAGTAATGTAAAACATGCATGGAGAAAAATTTTCTCTTTACTCCACTGCTCCTTGTGAACAATTATGACAATGGGGAAAAGACAGAACTTTCTTTTTTGTCCTTAATAAATGGCTGTAGGTTTACATTATTGAGCTCACTGTGAGAGGTCTGTGCTGACAAGAATCAGCCAGATTCACATTTCCTACCCACACTTCAGCCTCCTGCTAATCTCTGCTTATTCTGATGTCTGGAGGATTCCAAAGAAGGATGATGAAGATAATGCAAAACACAAACAGAACACCAGAGAATGGAGAAAAAGACAATTACTTATTAACTTTTCTGCTATGCTGACAAGCAAAAAGACCTGAAATAAATCTAATAATAATTCAGAAATTAAACATAAAAACACTGGAGAAGTTTGATTCAAAAAAATTACAGAAGATCTAATAGCAATTTATGCAGTCTAGCTAGTCTCAATGGAGGTGGGTATGATTTTTTAGTTCTTTCTTTACAGAACACAAACATTGGAAGACAGAGGTCCTCAGTGAGCCAGGGAGAGATCTGGGAACAAAAATCTTGTGTTTCATCAACTCAGAGACACTGCTCCTGAATAACATCACTAATGTTGGGAATGAATTGAATAATTGACCTTTCCATTAACAATTAAAGATATTGCTAGGAAAAACTTGAGAAACCTTG